AAAGAACTGTTCTTACTAGCGCGAGGGAAAGGTGCGGAGAATAGCGCATACTATACAGCTGCTAGCATTTTTTTATATTAAACTCGAGCACGCGATTACACGGTACACTTTCGACGAACCCGGTGACCCGAGGTTCGCTTTATATTAACTTGGCAGCTTAAGGTTTGGCTTGTACTAGGTCGTTCAAATTTAAACAGACTAATTTTATTTCTAAATGCACCGCGTGAACTTATAGCTATCTCTCAATTCAATGTTCTCTCTAAAAAAATTCGACGCATCGATCCAGTTCTAAAAATCATCTCACGCCCTGCAACCCCAACCATATAACGTTAATCCGAAAGCAAAAATATTATCGAATACATATATTGCTTTCCACGGAAAATGTATTTCAATTCCAAGTAATTTGCATGTAACATGTTCGCAGAAGCGAAGTTGGTTTAGCGCCGTCCTTTATCTTGGTTGAATTTAATTTCAGCCCGACCAAGTAAAGTGGCACTTATTCTTACGAACGCCACCGACGCGGACGCTTCGAGTACCTTTCGAGGATAGTCGAGTATGGTCGAGTGTTACGCTTCTTGGTCTTGCCCCCTGACATTTTATTTATCTCATTATTTGAGTGATGTCGGGACATTATTCGAGTGAGTGGTGATGGGATCAAAAGGATTTATAAGTAAAATCGAAATCTAATCGAACATCTTTCACCTTTCTATAAGAATACCTTGAAATATAGATACCCAGTAAATTTGTCGGTTACACTACATAAATTTTGCTGAAAATAATGGAAAAAGTATAAAAGTATCGTTCCAGTGTGAAACGAAGCTTGAATGAAACAAGGCTCGCATGGAACGAAGTAGGGAGCATCTATGACCTACACCGCGGTGAACCTGCTAATTTATTCAATTACTTCACCTTTCGTTACAGGCCTTTTCAGCGCAGTCAGAATTCTCTCCACCGTACTGCTTTTCAAAAATAAAATTTTCACTGTTCAGCTTTCTGTATAAAATGTGATGCATTCAGATACAAGCATACGTTTTCTACTATATTTTTTGTACTGATACTTTTAGTGTTTAAAAAAAAAAAAAAATATTCAGTTGATACTTTGATTTTTCATTAGGCGAGTATATAGTGCTTATACTCCTCCCTATCTTGATAAGAGATAAGTTTGCTTAAAGGTAACAACGAGTTGGTAGAAAATAACAATCTTTCGTCGGCCGTTTTTGGAACGAACGGGTGCCGTACGTTAAAATTGATGCGGGAAGATGGAAAGTAACAGGAACATTCGAATGCAAACGACTAACCGCGCATCAGACACTCGACGTTTCACTGGAACACCGAGACACCGTTTGATTAACATTTTCGTCGTTCCTGAAAGTTGAAAGTTCTTAGAAAATTCAAGATTACAAATTTTCATTAAAAACTTTCGGCAATGATTTGCATAATTGCGCTCTGTTGTCTCGCACACCGTGCCACAGATTACGTGAGATTAAACTTTAGTTTGCCTCATGATCTGTCCTTACAGCTTGTCTTGTCGAATTAATAACACCCGCGTACACAAGGAACACTGTTTACCCTTTGCGCGAAAATTAAATTCAACCTGTGTCAGGTGACCCAGGTAGGTTCGAACTAATAAAGAAAATAATAAATTTTTCAAAATGAGAGTGAAACGTTCAACAAGCAATCAACAAATAAAATTAACAATGGGAAATGAATTTCGAGAGACTTCGCGCGAGCGTCAATTTAATTTAATTTGAAAACTTATGAAGATCTTACTATATCGGTCGCTAGTTTGAAAGGTAACGACCGAAGGGCATTATTTAGAATGTACCGTCGCGACGGTCGTTGAGTTGAAACGAATTGCAAGTTCACGAGCCAGGAGAGCGTCAAATACCTCCTTTCAACGTAGAAGAGAGCGAAGCGTGAAGTATGGACTGGAATTTCGCTGAAGTCGAAACGAATATAAGGTCGTGTCGTCTGTTTCGCGATGTGACATAGAACAACTTCGTTTAGCCGAATGCGCGCAATATCCTCCGCGGTGCAGACATTTTTGTTACCTATGTTGTATCTAATGGAACGTCAACGCGATTCATCGACAGTTCCAGTTGCATAAACAAATAACTCAATCTATCGTTAGCTGTCAAACGCTAGACGGAATATAGAGCATAGAAATTTTACAAACTAGAAAATACACGTACTTAGTTTGCACTTTGACAAAACGATTAGTAGCGCTAATTGAATTGACATGTTTTCGTATGGTAAAGAAAACTTACGACATATTGTAATTCGTACCCAGACTGAACGCAAAGATTGGTGACTCTTTGATTTATTAAAGCTCACGGATCGTCGTCGTTCGTATCGTATCCACTTATCGAGCTGTCCGTGTCCCCGAACGATCCGTTTAACGTGCGCATAAAAGCTTTCCCTTACTTTTGCTATCCCCAAGCCAGGTAATTTCGAAGGGATTTCGTCGTCTGTTCGCATCACTGCTTTCGAGAGGGAACGAACCACCGCGCCGAACTGTCCTCGTGATACTGCTCCCTGCTTTATCTATCATCCACCGGCCGAATATCCTTCGCTAGGTTACGTTTTCTTGACCACGGTTCGTTGAACTTGCCAAATAATTCCTCACGGGACGAAGGACCCCTTGGTTTATCGGGTTCGATGTACGCCACCTTCTTTACGAACAAAATTTATTTTTCTCTCTTTGCTTGAGATTCCAAGTATAATCTCGAGAGACTTCTAATTCACTTTTATTTCTTTTTTGAAGTGTAACAACATTGATAAACCATATCTAAGAAGTTACACATTTAACGCGCGGCATTTTACGCACTCACTTTTTTTTTATGGAAGCCGGTTACTTTGGACATGTAAAATGAAATACTTTACGACTGAATATCAAAAGACAAGGGGAAAGTATAAATTTTTAAATAAAATTTGAGTTTATAAATAAAATGCAAGTCAGTCGAATAAACGAAAAATAAGTGAAAGCTGGCGCGTATCGATATTAATGTCAAAGAGATAAGCATAAATTCTTATCGCTGAAATTTACATATTTAAATATTTAAATCGAGACACACAACTATAGCAATTTATGGCCAAACAGTTGCAACCGCATGAAACAAGTGCTTGATATTAGAGGTCGTCGGGGAACGATACAAATTTAAAGGTCAAATATCCAATCGCTGATACAAGGTGGTACACGAACGAGGCCAATTTTTATTTAGAGTGCTTCGTTATCCGTACTTTTATGTCAGAATCTCTATAATTTTGTCGATGGTTGCGTTAGAATGTAAATTTTATATCGGCGTTCAAAATCGATGAAATCGTTAAACACAGCTGTCCAACTCGCGTTCGTATCGTTCATTCCACGTGCTACCTTGCGCGGAACGTCTTCGTTCCGTGCAGAGCTGAGCAAAATTTTAATCTATAATTCATCTGTATAACTCTAATCGTTATATCTTGTACCCTGTACCTGTTGCATCGTAATCCACCGTGTATGTACATTGTACATTTACAACTGGATTCGCATTGTCCGCTGAAAATTTATTAACTTTTATCGGTGTTAATAAAACACCCGCCAATTAGCTTCAGACACGATAAATTAATATATGTCTGTTTGTAGTTTTATTTCGGTCCACATTCATATTTGACTTGTTCTTTAAATACAAATAACTAATAAGTTTCTTATTCACTAACCAAAGGAACCTTCCCTTTTTTTTTTTTTTTTGGAAAACTATATAAGGAACTGTTGCTTTAAAAGCAATAAATATTTGTGTATTGTGAATCGTGCTCCATCGTTATATCGTTTCAATGAGTATTTAACGAAGTATCGCCCATCGAAGTTTCGAACAAAGTAGTAGAAATATGTCCTGTCTACCGCATTGTTATTTTTCCCAACAAAGGATTCGCGCAGCGTATTGTCTACGCAAAGATGAAACTTAAGGAAAATCGTTAAAGTTGCTGCTAAAACAAAACTCCGACACATTCCTTTTTTATCCAAAGTTTATCCCACCGGAATTTCAATGAAAACCGAAACAATTGACTTCGTCAAAATCGGCACAATGCCGTTGCGCGAAGTATCTATACAGACTTTGTCTTTTGTAGCTGAGTTTGAATCGATAGACGAACGTAAATTCCATTTAGTTTAAAGTCTGAACACAAAATTAGTCGTCCAAGGTTCGAATGATATTAAAAAACACAAACTGAACAATTGAAAATTAAAAGTTACTCAAATATAAATATAAGTTGCTTGGAATTCTTATCGGATACCTATGTATACGCAAACATCAAGGAAGATTGTGCAAACTCTTGCCAACGTATTCGGTCTTCGCTCGCGAGACTCGTCACATTCGTGAAATTCAATGCGTCACTTTTCAAATCCTTCCTTCTATCTCCTTTCGTGTTTCCTTCTTCATCTTGCGTTGAAAACAACTCTATCGAAAAATGTGTCAACAGAAGCACTTTTCGATAAAAACGAACGTTTCTACAACTTTGTTCAAACCCTTCAATATGTAGAATGAATCCAAGAACCTAAAATCATAACATAGACTAACGTAAATTCTAAAATTAAATCAATGACACACTATTTTATTCGATACTGTTTAAAACGTTACAAACGCTGATGACGCAAATAGCGAATATCTTGCGCAGCGTCGATGACTTCGGTGAATCATCGTTATCTTGGTACTTGCATGTAAAGTCGACATATATTTAATTTTTAAATAGAAAAATAACGAAAATCCGTACAACGCGTGTATATAATACATAATCCAGGCGACGAGCACACACGTTCAAGAGCATCCTCAGCGCGACATAGTATTGAAAGTATGTGTGGGTTACCTAGTGCCGCAATGCAACATCTAGAGCATTGTAGTTTTACTGTTTCGTTGGGTCCCGTCTGCCTGTTCAAATTCTCAACGTTACGTAACTCGAATCCTGCGATCGAGGACGTAAAAATGACTTTGTTATAGCGATAAATTTAAAGCCATTTATTTCTATTTCAGGTATTAGTCGTCGTCAAAGAATACTTGAATCATGTGGAAGGCGCTGTTGGTTGTTACCTTCTTTATAGCCAAAGGTAAAAGTAGAAAAGAAAACGACATAATAAAATAAGTGAAATTTGATCGAAACCGTTCAAAAATATTGTAGATTATTCAATAGAAGGAAATGTAGTAGAAGATAAATCATGTATTACATTTCATGAAATTTCCTGCGGCATTCTTAACGCATTTTCGTTCATCATAGGTAACACAAATGACTGCGTGCCTCGCAGTTTCGGTACCGACCGAATCGTCTGCGTTTGCAATGCAACGTATTGCGATACTACGCCGGACAATAATCCGAAAGTGCCAGCAAGAGGTCGATTTTATTGGTACGTTTCAAGTAGAGAGGGACTTAGGATGAGAATGACGGAGGGACAGGTTGGTCCTTGTGAACAATCACCTTGCAGTGTAACTTTGACTATAGATACCACAAAAAGGTATCAGAGAATCCAAGGTTTCGGCGGTGCGTTTACCGATTCAGCGGGTATTAACATCAGGAAATTAAGCGCTGCTACTCAGGATCAGCTAATACGGTAATTGAACAGTACAATCTGATATTATTGCAACTATACAGTGTTTGCGAGTCGATGACAACTCAAACTAATTGCTTCCAAAGATTACCCTATATTACAGTTCCGTCTTGTATTTTGCTATTTCAAGCCGAAATTCTTTCGATCCGAATATCGAACCACGTAACTCTAGTTCACTGTTTGTAGGACATATTTCGATCCGAATGCAGGAAGCAAATACACGTTAGGACGTGTCCCGATCGGTGGTACCGATTTCTCAACGAGACCTTACACGTACGATGACTATGAAAATGACACACGCCTGGAACACTTTGCACTCCAACAAGAAGACTACGATTATAAAATACCGTACATGCAGAGAGCCCTCGAATTGAATCCTGAAACGAAATTCGTGGCTGTCGCGTGGTCACCTCCAACGTGGATGAAAACTAACAACAGAATCAATGGATTTGGTACATACAATATTATACTATATAATAGGAAAATTTATCGACATCCAAACCCCTGGCCACAGCTTTCCTTGTTTACGTAGGATAGAACTGTATATGTGCAATAATAACGAATAATCCATTAGGTTTCTTGAAGACGGAATACTACGGTCTCTACAGCGATTATCTGTTGAAGTTTATGGATGAGTATAAAAATAATGGACTGGACATATGGGCAGTTACAACTGGTAACGAACCAATAGACGCCTTCGTACCATTCGATCTTCTTAACACTATGGGATGGACACCTCAAACCATGGGTGATTGGGTTGCCAATTATTTCGGTCCAGCTCTGGCCAGATCGCAACACAGAAACACGCAAATTTTAGCCCTCGACGATCAGAGACTTCAATTGCCCTGGTTTATTCGAAATCTGTTTCAAAATACAAAAGCAGAAAGATACATCGCGGGTACAGCTGTACACTGGTACACTGATTTCATTGTCCCTCCGACGGTATTGGATTCGACTCACAACTCATTTCCAAATAAATTCATTCTTATGACTGAAGCATGTACAGGTGAGCTTTAATATTCTTCGAAGAAAGTAATTAAAAATTATAATTACATCGCGAGACATCTACACAGGAAGCGGACTATTGGAATATCCAAAGGTTATTCTAGGATCATGGAAGCGAGGAGTGTCGTACATTTTAAGCATAATAGAGGTACGAATTAACAAACAATTTTTCTGTTAACGAATAATAAATTGTCGCTAATAAACAATGTTCTTCTTAGTACATGAATCATTGGTCAGTCGGATGGATAGACTGGAACCTAGCTCTGGATGATTCAGGCGGTCCAAACTGGATCAGAAACTTTGTCGACTCGCCTATTATCGTGAACCAAGAAACCGACGAATTTTATAAGAATCCGATGTATTATGCTCTGATGCATTTCAGTAGATTCGTCGAGAGAAATTCAGTCAGGATTTCTATCAGCCAGGCGGACAATATTAAATCTACAGCATTCGTAACCCCTTCGCACGAAGTCGTCGTCGTACTTTATAACGAGTATATATTACATAGTTGATAGAAATGTTTACGCATATCGAAAATTTGACTAATCGTGCACAAATTCATTTGTTCTTACAGGGCTAACTCAACAAGAGTCCTTTCTCTCAGGGATTTGAAAAGAGGCTCCATTTGCGTGACTGTACCCCCAAATTCTATGAACACTATAATTTATAGAGAATAGAAAATATGATATGCTTATTGGAACTGTCAACGTGGTTAAATAGTTTATTATTGCGTCCGAAATGTAATTCTGTCTCTGACAATAAATTACAATTTTATTTTAAATTACAAACAATGTTTAAATATCGTTTCCAGCTATGTTTCTTCGTTGCTAAAATACTGTAAACTATACAGACGAATGATACGATTGAACAGTATATACTAGAACGAAATTATATACTCGGGTATATAAGCGAGCCATTAAAATACACGTATGGATCATTAATATTTCATTCGACATACATTTAGACATTTGTGTAGATACGGTTTCGTTCTAACAGTAAAATATTTAAAGTATCATTTTTCATGATTAGTAGATAATGCGAAATTGTTGCATGGTTTAAATATAGTTTCTTATACGTATACTTGTAGGATTTATTATATGTTACTATATTTATAAAATACTGACTTAACTATTAAGTTAACTATTAACTATTAAGTCTTTACCCTTCGACCGCTCAACTAAATCTGTCTCCAACGCTTCTTTCTCTACCTCCCCTTAAAGTTAAACACTACCCAGGGTTTTTCCCAGGCAGGGGAACGTTGTTCTAGGCGGCCAGGTCATAAATTAAACTAAACTAAAGCTACGTTACAATATCCTTATACCTATCCTGTAGCTTTATCTACAATACACACATATTTTACACACATCAGTTTGGTATCTTTCTTATTTACAATGTATCGTACTATTGGTGATTATCGATATACCACCCCACTCAATGGAATACGCAAAAAACTGTCTATATAAGGCTTTCCTGACTTCGGTTGAACCACACTGTGGTAATTTCACCGAAGTGCGTTTCGAGGATGTGGTCTTCACTCCTAGTTATCGCATTCTTACTCGTCAGTGGTAAAATTAAATAAATCTAAGTAAAAATAACACTCGATCGTATACAAACATCAAACTACCATTACTTTTTACTGTTCGCAGGTTACGCGAACGATTGCGTGCCTCGTAGCTTCGGTACCGATCGCATCGTATGTGTTTGCAATGCAACGTACTGCGATGGATTACCGGAAGATCATCCAGAAGTCCCAGAAGATGGAAGCGCTTATTTGTACGAATCAAACAAGGGAGGGCTGAGACTGAAAGTGTCAACTGTAAAATTCGGTAGCTGTCGAGGCGGAGGCTTGCGACACAACATAAACTTAGACAGTTCGAAGAAATATCAAAAAATACTCGGATTCGGAGGTGCCATAACTGATTCTGCGGGTATAAATATAAAGAAGCTCAGCCCGGCTGCTCAAGAACAGTTACTTCGGTAATTACTAGTACATATCTATCATTAAAACTCTATTCGTACAATCACTAAGATCCTCAATTGTTACATGAAACTACCATAACTTTAATAAAAACTTGCCTCGAGCTGAGCTCTGAGTTACATAGACGTTATGGTATTTCTTTATTTGCAGATCGTATTACGATCCAAAAACAGGGAGCAAGTATACCTTGGGTCGTGTACCAATTGGTAGTACCGACTTCTCTACAAGACCTTATACTTACGACGATACCGAAGACGATGTAACGTTGGAACACTTTGCACTCGCTCCAGAAGATTACAATTACAAAATACCAATCATGAAAAAAGCTGTTAAATTGAGTCCTAAAATATTATTCATAAGTGCCACATGGACCCCTCCGAAATGGATGAAGACTAACAATAAAAACACTGGATTCCTAGGTAAATTCATGAAATTACTGGATTCCTTGGTAAAATCACTAATCATGTCACATTCGATAGGTTCCTTGAAGAACAAATACTATCAAACCTATGCCGATTATATCTTGAAATTCCTGGACGAATATAAGAAAAACGGTCTCGATATATGGGCAGTTTCAACAGGCAACGAACCGATCAATGCCCTTATACCCCTGGATCCTCTAAGCTCTATGGGTTGGACTCCTAATACAGTTGGCAAATGGGTCGCTAATAACTTGGGTCCAACTCTAAACCAATCGCAACACGATACGCTAATTTTCGCTCTTGACGATCAATCGATCTTTTTACCGTGGTATGTCGATCAAATAGCTCGTAATGAAAAAGCAAATAATTATATTGCAGGAATAGCGTCACATTGGTACGCCGATGTCACAATACCCTTAACGTTAGACACAGCATTAGACGCGACGCACCGCACATTTCCAGACAAGTTCCTTCTCATGACCGAGGCATGTGTAGGTAGGTTCTTAAACTTATACGCAATAAATTACACGGTCACTGACTGGAAATTTACTTAATTTAACCTTTTCGCGTAGGATCGTTGGAGATACGTCCTGTTAATCTAGGAGCATGGGATCGCGGAGAGAGATATATTTCGAGCATAATAGACGTGAGTTCCATTCTTTTATTCATCGTAATCGTAACAAATATTTGACTTGTCTATCGTAGAACTGGAAGTAGTAGGTACTAATTGAGGATGCTTTGATTCAAGTACATGAACCACTGGTATGTCGGATGGATGGACTGGAATATAGCTCTAGACGAGCGAGGTGGGCCAACCTATATTAACAATTTCGTTGATTCGCCCATTATTGTAAATGGAACGTCCGATGAATTTTACAAGCAACCCATGTATTATGCTCTAAAGCATTTCAGCAGATTCGTTGACAGAGATTCTGACAGGATTTCTATTTCTAATGCGCTTTTGATCAAGTCTACGGCTTTTCTAACACCTTCGAATGAAATTGTCGTTGTACTGTACAATAGGTAACGAAAATGGCGAATATTATTGTTTCATACAATGCATTTTTCTTTCGCAATTATAATTCTATTTCTCGTTTCAGCGGCCCTTTGACAGAATACATGACTCTGAATGATCCACAAAAGGGATCTCTTTGCTTGACATTATCTCCGCATTCTTTTAACACCATAAAATATAAATTGTAACTGATATGTACAGTTACGGATGCTAAAATATTTCTGAAATACTTGACCTTTCTTTTAAAATGGTATGATTAATAAAGAAGTTTGTCACTACTACAAAGATTACTTCCAAATTTCACAAAAAAATACACATAATCCTCATATTCTTGCGTTAAGATGCCACTACCAGCGTTAAATAGTTACCTTAACCCTTCTGTTGGTAACCGGATACCCAGGTACCCATTTCAATGTTTCCAAGTAATTTATTATGTGATTTTGTAAAAATATCCTAAAACCGCTTTGGATCCCCATTTTTTGGACATTATTACATCGATTTACGTTTTGAAAATAAAAATTTAACCAAACAGTTCTAAATAATAAGTTCTAAATCCTTTTCCTTGCGTGTCTGCGATATATTGTCTAACATCTGGAAACCTCTTGCGGAGGACGACACGACTCCGATGCCGGTGCGGGCGTACCAAAAACCGAAAGGTCCGCGTCTGCTTATTGTCACTCCTGTTATTGTCTATTGCCGTTCGACCACCCATAACTCGAAAGTCGAGAATATAAAGCCTTTTTATTCTAGAAATCGTAAAATACATTCCACGAGAACCCTGTACGTTCCAGAATAATAATTTTCGTTTTTAGAAGAAAAAATTGTAGAGAGTTATGAACAGCACGCATATTTGCAAATGATACGGGGGTTGACGAAGAATTATAATATAGCTACTGACAATTGTTTCGCTTAAGCTCTTTAAAACAGTACTTGATACGTTCTAGGAAGTAAAAATAAAAAGATTTGGGAAAGTATAGACGAGAAATTATCCCTGCATTATTTGATATACCAGAATAGAACGCTCGGGGCATTAGTGTAGCGTCACGGAAACGCAACGTTTAGCAAGCCCAAACTGGTAGCCTCAAGTAGGAATAATGCCAAGAGCTGTAATTAAAACATGTACTAAATTACAGAAAGTAAATATGGTAATGGCCAGATAGATGAACTATTTCGATACATTATCTGAAGAAATGACGTAGCAGCACGTTAAATTTCGAGGTCGTTGCTACATACGTTACCTTATTGTCCGACCGAGGCTTTCAGCAAACATTACTTGTTTATTTATTTGAATAAACGAGAATAACCTATTACTATACAAAGAATGCGAAACTACAGAGGTGTTGTAATTTACCATTACGCATATGCACCAGAATCATAGTTCTCGTCTTGTAGTTAAACGATTATGTCGATCCGTTTAAACTTTGAAAACATAAGAACATTGAGGTGCCCCTTCTGAAAGGGTTTCACTGTCCAAAGTGCACTGTAAGCATTTATTTAAAGTTTTTATATGAAAAGCTAAGCAATTTTCAAAGCTTGTATTACTCTTTATGGTAATTGATATTCTGCTTTTCGTGATTTGTTCCCAAGAAAAAGTAACTCTGAAAGATGCAAAGAGAGGTGATTTCTGTTTGGAATTATCTCCATATTCCATGAACACCGTAAAATACAAACAGTAATACGTCCTGTAATGCTAAAATTACGCATAATAATTTAATAACAGTTTATAAGGCGCATAGTGAAAATATAATAAAATGCATCATAAAAAGTGCTATATCTCAAGAATATGTTCTGGAAATAATTTCGAGATTAATTTATTCCGCCACTTATTAAAATCGTAATCATTTTCATCAATGATGTTGCGAATTCTTTTGTTAAGGCAAGCAAGTCATCCAAGGTAATCAATATTTTTTGTCCACCTGAAAAAATATTTATACAGTTCGTTTCTTTAAATATAAGATCGCTGTAACCACGCAATCGGAAGAAGTGGCGTACCGATCTAAAGAAAGAAACAATTCGCTAATATTGAATGTTCAATTTCGATTCCGTTTCGACAACTCACGATTACAATTATGTACTCGCAACTGGAAGGTGTCAAACAAAATGTGTTTCCTTGTTAGCATTTCAAAAGTCACACTTTTGAAGATGAAAACAGATACACGGATACTATACAGGGTGTCTACAGTTTAGTCTGGACGAACTCAGGGGATCGATTCTATAATACAACTAATTTCCAACAAAAAGTTCCTCTTAGACATTTATCTAAATACTTCTTATTTAAGGAATCTGGAAAAGGAAAGTTCTAAAAGGAACTTTTTGTTGGAAATTAGTTGTAGAATTGAGTTTGTCCCTGAGTTTGTCCAGACTTAATTGTAGACACCATGTATATGTTTAAATATATCTTTAATCTATACCTCGACTGTTGTTACGACAAAAAAAAAGTATTTATTCGGTACACATTGTCATTACGATAATGTCTTCTCTGTCTGTCGTCAAAGAAAATGATCAGATAACAAATATCCCCACTTCGTTTTAAATGACACCTGACAAGGAAGTATATCTGTCATGATTACCCCTACCACATTACAGAGTATATGCATCAAGAGTATATATATATGAATCTGTAACAAGTTAACTTTAGTTCAATCAACTTCACTTTCGAACCAACCACCAAATATTTCGAGTATGTGGAAAGAATTTCTAATTGTTACCCTCTTCCTCGCTAAAGGTAAACTTTGTATTTTTTTAAAAATCATAGTTTTAAACTGTGTTGGTTTCTGTAAGATTTCCTGTTCGTTTCCAAGGGTGACTCGATTCAATTTTCAATCATTAAGGCACTTTTGTTGATCACAGGTAACGCCAAAGGATGTGTGCCTTATACCGTTAACAATGATGTAGTCGCATGTGTTTGCAACGCAACATACTGCGATACATTCGATCATGTTCCGAAGAGCATAGAACCAGGAACTTTTTATTGGTACGTGACAAATAAGGAAGGTCTCAGAATGAAAATGTCACAGGTGAAGATTGGCAACGATCACAAGTCTCCCTCAAATGTAACTTTAACCATAAACAGAAAAGAGCAATATCAAAAGATGCTTGGATTCGGAGGAGCCTTTACCGATTCTACTGGCATAAACATAAGAAAGCTCAGCCCTGCTACGCAAGACCAACTAATTCGGTAATTCATAATCGTCTACGAATAAAATTTATTTATTGGAATGCTACGATTCGTTGAATTTTCTTATTCGTAGGACATATTACTCGCCAGAGACAGGAAGTAAATACACAATCGGTCGTATACCCATCGGTGGTACAGACTTTTCAACGAGACCTTACTCGTACGACGACCACGTAAACGACTCTTCGCTATTATACTTTTCGCTCGCGCCAGAAGATTATCAATACAAAATACCATTTGCGAGGAAGGCATTAGAACTGAATTCTGACCTTAAATTCTTTGCTAGCGCGTGGTCCGCTCCAGGATGGATGAAAACTAACGGGGTCTTGGCCGGATATGGTAAATTAATACCATTTAAGATACAATGTTTGAAACTATCATATTCTTCGATTTAGATACTCCAATGTTACGCCAGCATTTTAGTTAGCTTCTTCAGTGATGAAATGACCAATTTCTATCAATTTCCACGGTTTACATCCGTTTCTTCGAATTTTTCTTGGATATATAAAATCCAATGACATACACGTAAAGACAGATATCGCTAATATTTTAATTAATTAGGTTTCTTGGAGGAAAAATATTATCAAACCTATGCAAATTACTTGGCCTTATTTGTGGATGAGTACAAAAAGAATGGTATCGACATGTGGGCTGTTACGACGGGTAACGAACCAACGATAGACTTGCAAGTGAAGAATTCAAAAATGATTACTATGGGATGGACACCAGAGACTATGGCTGATTGGGTCGCCAATTACATGGGCCCAACTTTGGCGAACAAAGGCACGGTAGTCTTAGCCCTCGATGACGACAGGGAACTACTGCCTTGGTACGTCGAGCCACTATTTAAAAATAAAAAAGCGTCCAAGTATACTGTAGGAACTGGTGTACATTGGTACTTTGAATACGAAGCATCTATAACTACAATGGACAAGACCCACGAAGAATTCCCAGATAAAATACTGCTGTTGACTGAAGCATCCATACGTGAGTCGACGTAAAAGATACAACCTTTTTGCAAGAATAATATGTTTCCTAAAATCTTTTGATTTCGAATAGAAATTATAACTTCATTCGTTATCTTTACAGTGGAGCCAATATGGGGAACTCCAAATGTTACCGCAAAAGCGTGGGCTCACGGAGAAAGATATTTTAAAGAAATAATAAAGGTACATTGTTTGCATTACAATAATCCTAATTAAAAGAAATGATTTTTGACTGTGAAAATTCTGGTTGAAGTACGTGAATCATTGGTCGGTCGGATTTGTGGACTGGAATTTGGCTCTTGACGAAAAGGGTGGTCCGACCTGGATAAAAAACTATCTCGATGCAGGCATTATTGTGAATCCAGAGAAGGATGAATTTTATAAACTACCCATATTCTATGCTATGGCACACTTCAGTAGATTCGTCGATAGAGGCTCTGCTAGAATTTCTATCACCGGTAGCGAGACGATTAAATCTACGGCCTTTATAACACAATCGGAGGAAATTGTCGTTATATTATACAACAGGTAATGCAAATTCCATCTATTATTGTATTGTACGAAAAACATCTTTATTTTGCATTTCAGCAATAATTTCTCAACTTCCGTAACCCTTGCGGATGAGCAAATGCTGCAGTTAGAGTTATCTCCATACTCTATGAACACCATAATCTATAAATAAAAGATACGTTTTCAAGACAAGTTGGAAAATAACTTTACTCGATACAATAAATGCCGATGATTCAACATACTCCGATGGTTAACATGGATCCTTTGTATAAGACAAAAATATTACTTCTTTGTATAATTACTTTAGTACATTTAAATGTTAATTTTGTAGGTATCGAATCATAAATAAAATAAAAATACTTGTTTGTTAAATTTGTATTATCTGAATAGAAGTACACTTAAATAAGATAAATTCTAATATGTAGGATCAATTAAAGAATATAAAGCAGTACAAAGATAGCCGTAAACGTCACAAAATTATCAATTCTAAGAAGTTGAAAATTCATACATATGTAAAACTAGAATACAATAAATCATGTGCATACATCAGTTGCTTAAAGTCATATATCTACATTACGATTAGTGACCAAGGTAACACGACTGCCTATAAG